CGTCACAAGTTTGTTTTACGTTAACCCAAGCTCTTTATATTTTTAAAACAACTTTGCAGTTTGTTTTAATGTTGTTTTATAGCTTTTAACAATTAAATACTTTTTAAAATTAACACGTGTTTTAACGTCAGTACGAACGTAATAAATAGTTTTCTTTGACTAATTAAAGTGGTTTAGTTGCTTTTTCTCTTATTTTTTTACTTTTACTTTTTTAAGTATCATTTTAAGTAGAATATATACTTAAAGAAATATCTTAATAGTATTAAAAACGTTATTGCTTATTACAACTGCAACTTAAACTTTAAGTTATAACTTAAGTTGTAAACAATAACAGTAACTTACGCTATTTTATACTCTGCCGAACAAGAAAATTATAAGATTATATTTAAATATAGAGATAATGTATTAAAAGTAGAACAATTACGTACAAAAGTTACAATTATATACTAACACAACTTCCTCCTCCCCCCCTCCCGCCATTACCGCAAAGAAGCGCAATGTATAAGGAGGGGGGGGGGGAATTTTTTTTCTCGCGATTAGATTTTTTTGCGTTAATTCGAGCCCTGATATATATATATATATATATATATAATATTTAATTACAAAGCACCAATTGCATCTCTGTTAATATTTTTTTTTTTCTTTTTGTTTTGACAGTTGTACAATGTTGTGGTTGATACAGAAAAAACTGGAAAGTTACTACTTGAAAATGGTCAGTTGCAAAGAAAAGTTACTTTGATTCCATTAAATAACATTTCTTCACGCTCAATCAATGATGATATAGTAAATAAAGCAAAATCAATAGTAAGATCAAAAATTGTGACTCTAATGTTTGTTTTTTTAATGTTTTTTTTATGTATTTTGATGTTGTTTAATTTCTGTTGAATGTTTTTAATGTATTTCTCTTTAATGTTTAAAGCTGATTTTAATAAGGATCAGTATATATATATATATATAAATATATATATTTATATATATATATATATATATATATATATATATATATATATATATATATATATATATATATATATATATAGCTGCGAAAAATAAAATAGCACCACCACCAAAAATTCGTTGAAATTAGAACTTTTAACTATTTTTGATAGTTTGAAAATCTTTTAAATACATATTTAAAAGTAAAATGGCTTTTATAAAAAACAAAATTTACAAGTTTTAATATATAGTATTCATTTATTAAACAAAAATTAAAAACAAAATCAAATAAAATGCGAAAAAAATAATAGCACCACAGCTTTAATGTGTACTTTAAAATAAGGAAATATAATGAGATCAATTATTTTAAACATTTTACAATAAATATTAGTTATTTCTTAACATATTAGTATTTTGTAGCGTGACATTTATTAGCAATGATGGCTACACAACATCTTGGCATCGAGTTAACTAAACCCTGACATCGTTTAGCGGAATTTTGCTCCATGTCTCCTTAACTACGTTCCAAAGTGACTCCTTCGTGGTGGGCTTGGCAGCAGCAACCACCTCCTTTACATCAGCCCACAAATTCTTGATTTGGTTTAGATCTGGCGATTGTGCTGGCCACTCCATAACGTTCAATTTATGCTCCTCAAACCAATTCTTCGCCTTCTTGCTAGTGTGCTTTGGGTCATTGTCCTGTTGGAACACCCAGGACAACGGCATTTCATAGTCTGCAAATGGCAACATCACTTTATCCAATATATCAACATAAACGTGTTGGTCCATAATAGTAGTAATGTGATGAATAGGCCCTACTCCATAATAAGAAAAGCATTCCCATATTATTATACTACAACATCCATGTTTAATAGTTTAGATAGTATATTTTGGATTGTATTCTGCATTCGGTGGTCTTACGCATGAGAGCCTTTTCCACCATAAAGCACAATCTTACTTTTGTCTGTCCATAAATATTCCTCCATTTTTCGAGTGGCCAATATGAGTGTTTTTTAGCAAACGCAATACGCTTTACAACATGTCTGCCACTTAGAAGTGGAACTTTTCTGGGGCTACAGGCTTTTAATCCATTAACTCGCAGACAACTCTGAACTGTTTGTACCATTGCATCGATGTTAAAGTCCTTTTTCAGTTTTAAAAGGTTCCTTTTTAGCCTGTCGGACTAAGCGATTGGCCAGCAATCTTGAAATAGAACATTTTTGACCACGTGTCTCAGGCATTTCTTGAAATTTTATGGCATTTCTTATCATTTTATTGGAACACTCAACTAAACCACCAACTTCTCTATAAGATTTCCCTGCTGATATCAACTTTCGGATCAGTTCTCGTTTTTCTGCACTACAATGCTTTCCTTGTCCCATTTTTATATGTTATTGTCTCCAACACACTAACATAAATGTCTCCTTACGCACTAACATAAAACAAATGAAACAGCAAAAAAAAATCCAATGTTTGCTATTTCACAATTATTTTTACCGTTATTAGAGTATTTTACTACAAAAGAGTATGTGGTGCTATTTTATTTTTCAGTCAGAATTGACATTGTTGATTAAAATCGAGCAACACCAAACAGTTTTTTTCCCAAAATGATTTGTTTTAAAAAGTAAACATGTTAGCTAATATTTTAAACAGCATGGTGTTTTCTTAACAAAAAAGAAAATACGCTTAGTGGTGCTATTTTATTTTTTGCAACTATATATATATATATATATATATATATATATATATTATGTGTGTATACATGTACAAAAGGGTACGTCACTTAAAAGAAAAATGAGCAAAGAAAATTCTAGCATCAATATTATAGTGCCAATATTTTTTACCTACAGGGGAACTCGTTTTTTAGAACGATGTCAGATCTTAAAAATTCACAAATTTGAACAAGTCATAAGTCAGTTTAGTTTAATTTTAATGTTCTTTGTGTTTACCAAATATTAAATAAATGTAGGATGATTGGCGTTGAAAAATTGAGATTATATCAGAGCTGATGACACCAGAGGATCAGGGGGTCACGTTCCCCCTCCCCCTCCATCACTCTTTCTATAAAGGACTTTTTTTTTTAAAAATGTTTTGAAGATTTTAGATATGGAAGACCTTTTTTTAGTAGTTTGATTGTGCTCCCTCCAACTCCCCTTAACTTGAAAAAGTTGCATCGTTGGCCCTGTTTATTTAGAAATGCAAAGTTCTGAAAAGTTGTAGGTTATTTTTAAATAGTTATTTCTACATTTATTGCATTGTACAGAAGTACATTTATTATATGTACAGAAGTGTACATTATTGTCTACATTTATTACAATAGTACAAAAGTGTACTTTGCGTACAATGTACATAATGCACACTTCTGCACTAATGTACTCTTCTGTATGTACTCTGGAAAGAATACAATACATCACATTCTGAAATATTTTTGTATTTAAACATGTTTTCATTTATTCATAATAGTAATCAATAAAACTGGAAATAAATTACTTCAGTACGGTGCATTGATGTACCTCATATATGAATACGCAGTACAAAAGTACTTTACTTCTGGTTTGGTTGATTTCCAGTTTTGTTAATTGCTACTATTTATTTAAAATTAAGAAGAGGAATAAGTGCTCCTAAAATTATTAGATTCAATTTGGATAAAAAAGAATAAAAGTTTTCACTGTATTTGGGTGGAAGTAATGATCTTAATCCTTCAGAAGTGCCTACGATTAGAAATATCCTGAGGAAGGGTCTTTTAATACAAGAATGTTTGCTCATTGAAAAAGATATTGACTAGTATGTAATGAAATGTCAAATTTAAACTTGGTTCTTCAACAGTGGACAAGATCGAATGCTCTTTTCAAGTTTCTTGTGGTAATAAACAAGATATCTTTGGTACAGAAAATAGAATTAGCCTGGAATAAGTTTAGTGATATTTCTAGAGGAAAAGCAGCCCAAAAAATTGCTTCTACCTGGGAAATGAAATTAGATCAATTGCTTAACATTACATCTTGTTAATGTGAAATCACTTTATGTAATAAAAAGTGCTAAAAATTGATTAATTGTCTAGATTCAGTGTACCTGTTCGAGAGAAAAAAAGATTCCAAAAAGTGAACTTATTTGCTTAAAAGCTAAAAGAGAAAAAACTGGGTCACTATCAAAATATCAAATGACTTTTAAAGATACTAAGGAAACAGCTAGACAGGTTTCTTTAGAAAAAAGGAAGCTGAAAAGAAAAGTCTAGAAAAAAAAAAAATTAGAAAAAAAGATGAGGAAGAAACTTCAAAGAATAATGATCTTGTTGAGTCTTTCATAAGTGATGATAATTCAAATAGACTAGAAATGGAAGATGAACATGCTTCAACTGATAACTGGAAACTAAATTTTGTCTACTAGTAATACTGCTGAAGCATCTTTGAGATTCAATATCAGCTGCAACCTCAACAGTTGTTTCAGCTTTTCTTCAAGACATTATTCTGGGTAACTTTTTAACACCTGAAATGTACTATTTGGCTGTAGATCCTATAAATGTTGTTAGAGCTAGGAAAGCAGTAATGACTAAAGCATAGACATCTCAAAAATTGAAGATTCAAGTACAACCTATCAGAGGTGTATTTGCTGATAGCAGAGTTTTAAAGCACAACCTCGTAACAAAACAATTTCATCAAAGGGTTGTGAAAGAAGAACAAATTAGTGTTACTTCTAAATCTGATGGTCACTATATTACACATTTTACACCCATGAAGTTAATACCTCACAATAAGCCTTCTAAACAAGCAGCTATTGAACTATTTAATTGGATGATTCCTTGGGTAGTACATAAATCAGAGTTTCAAAGAGATTTTAGAAATAATAATGGTTTCAAATAAAAATGAATTGCTTAAATTTTATATACAAAAAACAACAGTTTTTTACTAAAAATTGAAAAGGTTGTTTTTTATGACATTGTGTTGGCAATATTTTTTTTTTTAATTTTTTTCAGTAGAAAAGATTATGAATTTTAAAATCAATGATTTTATTCTATAGTCTGAAAAACAAATAAGCTAAAAAGTTTTACTGAAAACTTATTACTGAAATAAAATTTAACTTTTTGTGGAATTGTCCATATACATATCTATATTATGTATAAATATAAATTTGACATTATAAATATGTTCAGTGTCTCATTATTTAATGTGTTGATTTTAATTAGTTTATTGTTTTTTAAAAAACCTTTTAAAAACAAAAAACCAAGTTTTATAAATTATCAACGTAAATAAAGTTTTTACATTATAAAAAAAGAGACTTTTATATTAATTTTTTTATATTAAAATTTTGATTTCATTTTAAATTCTATTTTGGAAATCAAATCACAAAGTTAGCTTTGTCTGAGCAATGGATTACTAGCAGGGTCAGAGGTTCAATAATGGTCATGATTCACATAAGGCTACAAGGATAGCCTAAGGGAAGAAGTTTTACCAAAAAATAAACTTTGTTTTGAGTTAAACCTTGTAATTACAGATATCTGATCTAATGGATCTTTTATGGCCTTGTGGAGACTATTGAACAAAAAAAAAGGTTTTTAGGTCTAAAACTGTGAAGAAACAGACTAAGCTCTTTTTTTATGCTTTGTTTTACTATTTCTATAGCAAGTTTACTTACTTGCTAGAGAAATGGTAAATTTTAGTAAATAGTACTTTTAAATTTTAAAAAAATTATAAAATGTTTTAAATTATAATCAAATACAATGAAATTTAAATTTTAGCATTTTTTTTGTCCTTGAAAAGTTATTTTTTATTTTTTTTTTTTTGCAGGTTGGCAAAGAAAACGTTTATACAGCTTTATCATTGGTTGGTTATGCAGATAAAGTTGAAGCTGCAATGAAATTTGTGTTTGGTTCCTCATTTGTAGCAAAAACTTTAGATCAAGCTAAAAAGGTAAATAATTTCAAAAACTTCATATTATCATTAAAATATCACTTTATAGGTTCTGCATAATCTGCATAATCAAGTTATTTTCTGCATAATCTGCATAATCAAGTTATTTTCTGCATAATCTGCATAATCAAGTTATTTTCTGCATAATCTGCATAATCAAGTTATTTTTAGGTTGCTTTTGATCCTCAAATAAAAATAAAGACTGTTACAATGGATGGTGATGTTTTTGATCCAGCTGGCACATTAACAGGCGGTAAGTGTTCTTCTTTAAATTTTAGTACATAATAGGTGTTTGTATTCAATAGGCAACTGTGTCTAGTCAATAGATGAATATCTGTAGACAATAAGATTTAATAAAATGTAGCTGGGACTTTTTTTCAAATATAATTGTGGTTCACTTATGTACTTTTTTTATTATTATAATTTTTTTTGATATAAATAACAAATATAATAATGAATAAACAGCGTTTATTTTGGATAAATGCCAAATTAAAATGTGTTTTAATTCTAAAAAATGAACTTCATAGCTTTTAATGCAAACAAAATTTTATATTTAATAAAAATCTCTGCATTCTTTTTTATCTCCACAATCTGCTTCTTTAATTTAATTTAATTTTTTTACTCTATCTTGTTTTATAAACTAATAGATCTCTTATGGAGCTCATTGTTTTTGAGATTTTTTTTTTTTTTTTAAATAAATTATTGAGTTAGCTTTAAGTGCATTTTAATTGGCAAAAATGTTTTGGCTTGTTTATTCTTTTCATTTTTGTTTTTTTAACCTTTTCTTTATAATTTGCATTCATTGTAGTTAAATTCTTTTATAAACATTGGCCACACAAGTTTTTGTACATTGTAGTTAAATTCTTTTATAAACATTGGCCACACAAGTTTTTGTACATATTCCATGCATATGTTAATATGGTAATATATTTGTAATTATTTTGTTATGCTACTATTGAGTAATATCATCCTAGCTGAGTCACAATCTCTGGTTTTGATGGTTATACAGTTTGGAGAACTTAACAAAATAATAATTTTTTGAAAATTCTGATTCTAAGTAGATCCTGAAGTGTAACTATTTGACTTTTAACAGAATAAATCAGAAATTTTTAAAATTTTTGTTTTTTTTATTTTTAACTATTCCAACAAAGTTATCAAAAACTGTTATTTTAATGAAAATGATTAGAAAATGATAAAAAGTTATCATTAGATACCCATAATTATTAATAAGGTGGTCATACAGTAGGACAAGATATGGCAAAACAGTTTAGAACCTGTTTCCAAATATTTTGCCTAGATACCAACAGAGCTGCTTTAATGTTGGGTAAATTCAGAGAAAAAAATTTTAATTTGAGCAACCTTTAGTCGAAGAAGATAGCAACTTCTGAAAAGAATCAGTCGCAATCAGTCTTTTTTTTTTATTTTTTACACTACAGTTCATGGTAAGTCACTATGGTATTGGTTGCTATGTAAAACCAATGCAAAGTGCGGGGAAAAAAAAGAAGCCTATAAAAGCTTATGAATGACCAGAAATTTGTTGAGTTGTAATTAATTTGCTTGACTTTTACATAAACAATATTAAAACAATTTTTTTCAAGATTGAAAAGTAAGAAAATAAAAAAATAAGTTCATGTTTTAGTTTTGTGACTGTAGTTGGTAAGTACATTTGCGCATAAAAATCATTGTATTTTATGATAATTGAATATTGAATGCAATAATTATTTTTTTGAATATCATTTAAAGCCAACTCTTCAGCATCCAAATAGAGTTTATAAATAATTACATAATTTATTAATTTTCTTACAATTGGGTTAAAAAGAAAAAAAAATCAAGGGGGTTTGAATTATTTATTAGGCAAAGCATATTTTGACACTTGTCAAGACAAAATTAAAGATTAATAGAGTAATATTTAAAAATAAATAAGACAAGCTATACACCCAAAACAGTACTCAACAATAATAACAATAAAAAAAAAAGAAAGAAAAAAAGAAAATAAATAAATAAACAAAAAATATGTTTTATAAACACCAATATGAACATTTAAAAATAATAAAAATGTAAGCAGCATATATACAACAAATACATCACCAGACAAAAACTTATAAAACAAAAAACCGATCACAAAATAAAAAATATCAACAATGAAAGGCCTAATAATGGAAAAAAAACATTAATGCTAATGTGTAAACATAATTTGTGTAGTGATTAAGTAATAAACATCTCCTCAGAGTCGCGTCTATTATTACTGGTGTTTCGATGAGGATCAGCATTTATGGGGGTTATTTTTAAATTTTTTAGATTGAATTACTCTTGTATTATTTATAAATAATTTTTTTTTTAGTTTTAATGATATTTAATTGCAATTTGTAACTAGGAGCTCGACTAAACCAAACCTCAATACTTGAAAAACTTCAAGAACTTCATGATTCTATGAATATATTGAATACATTAAATAATGATTTGTCGTCGGTTGAAAAAGAAATTAATTTGACAAAAGATATTGCTAATAAGTAATTTTTATTAATTTTTATTAATTTTCTTTAATACATTTTTTTAAATTGAAATTGATTTTGTTATAATTTTAGAAATCAGAAAATTAAAGTTAAAATAATTTGAGTTATTTGTTTACATTATATAATATTAAATTTAACGTTTAATGGTTTTAACTTTTTTTTAAAGTAGTTTTATTTATGATTTTAATTAGTATCGAAACTTAGTAGTTTTTTACTTAATTATGATAATTATGATTATCATAATTATCAAAATTAAGTAAAAAATATTTTATTTTAATTATCATAATTATCATAATTATTTAAATTAGTTTACATTTTTTATGTTATTTAGTTTACTTTTTATATGTTATTTAGGTACAATCAGCTTTCAACTCAGTTAGATATTAAGTCACGAGAGATTGAACTTGCGCAAGATCGAATGAAACAAAGTACTCACCATTTCAAAGTTGAAGAGCTCAAGACCCATGAGAAAGCTATAGGTATGAGATTTTTTTAAAGTTACTAGGCTTTGAATTAAACCTTTTTATCAAATAACTATTAAGTTTTATTATTTAGCGGTGTCCTTAATTGTACAGCACTCAAGCTCAAAAAACAGTTTTGACAAATGACTTTCTGCATTAAGAATTAAACACTTGAGTTTCGTAAAAATGTTAAATAAATTTTTTAAAGAATTCTTTTTCGTGTGTAAATTTATTTACAAAACTTTAGTTTTGTCTTAAAAACTCAGTTTTTATTTTATTTTTATTAAACTTTTCTCTTCATTTTATTAAAGTTTACTTTATTCTTCAATTTTATTTTATCTTTTTTATATATAAAATTAAAAAAATAAAAATGTAAGTTGTATTACTTGCAAATTCTATATTAATTTAGGTATTAAAGTTCAAACTCAGTATTCACTTGAGTATTAAAATTATACAAGAGAATTTCTCTGTGATATTAAGCTCAATACATATTCACATGTATACTACGCACTCTAAGGTGTAGAACATGAACTATGTTAAGAAAACTCCATCCGCTATAATATGCAATACAAACAAACAGCATAATTAGGATTTCAGCTTTTTTTTAATAAAACTAATCTGAAACTCAAAAATAATAAAATGATTTATCTTCCATCTCTTTATCACTAATTGCAAAAATGTCAAAACGTCAAATATCTTGTTAAAAATATCATTAGACATAACCAAAAAAACTTCTGAAATTCCAGATATTTCTTTCAACTTTTGGTTTTTCTAGATTTTTGAATTTTTCTGTAAATACAAATTTAAATATAGTTTTTTCAATGAATTTGCTTTTTAACTTTTTCAGTCATTACCTGTACAGAAAAAAAAAAAAGGAAATTAAAAAAAAAAGTTTAGAAAGTCATTGCTTAAAGTTAAAATAAGACAATTAAAAACTAAATAAATTCTGGCTTTTTCTTTTGAATTTTTTTGCAAAATGTTTTCCAGTTTTCAAAATACAAACTGGATGATCACTGTTACAGAGATTATTTTTTAAGCAAGATTTTTTTTGGAATTTTATAACATGTTTTTGTTGTTAATTTATTTTGTAGATTTTTTAGAATGTGCTAGAAAAGTTAAAAAAAAAAAATACAAAACATAACATAAAAGTATCTTGTATTTTTTATTAAATATGTTTCTAACTTTAGTTGATCTTAAAGAAGCTGTTAAAATAGCAAATGAAGCAAAACTAGTTGCTCAAAAAAAAGTGAAAGATCTTGAAATTAAAATGATGGTTAGATTTTAATTTTTCGTCATTGTTGTCGACATAAATACATTTACTTATTTATAAAAATAGTTATGTATTATTATTATAGTTATGTAATATAGTTATAAATAATTGTGATACATTTAAATTTAGGAAAAGTCATCTCATCGAGATTTAGAACTTAAAAATGCAGAAAATCTACTTACAACTGCAAAGCGAAACGCTGAAGCCTCGAGCAAAATCTTCAAAGCAAAACAACAGGTGATAACACTTTATATTTTATTCTAGTAGTTTTTATATATATATATATTTTTTGTTTTAATTTTTTTCTTTCAAGGAAATGGAAGAGTTAGTTTTAGAAATTGAGTCTCTGAAGGATGAAACAAAAATACTTTTAGACCAGGTGAATTTTTTTTAATTTTTTTTTTTTTTTTTTTTTTTAATCTACTGCAGTTTATTACGTCTTTAGTTTTTTTTGTAACTTTTTTTGTGGCTTTGCGAAAAAGTGAATAATGACTACAAAAAAAAAAAGATTCTTGCTCAAATCAATCTCTATCATGCCTCAACCCAAACTATAAACTCAGTATAAACTATAAACACACACACACATTTTTACATATTTGTTACACATACCTATAAATATATATTTACCTATGCATATTCAGATATGCAGTATGTTCTGCACATTTTTTTTTTTTTTTTAAATCTAAACTTTTACTAGTTATTCATGCATTTTAGAAATTCAAAAAAAATTTTACAAAAAATTCAAAACATAAAGATTTATAATGCTGATTATTGTGCTGTTAAAATTACAATTTTATTAATGGCTTATATTAATTGCTAATACATTTAAAATTACAACACATTTTAACAAATAAAACACATTTAAAATTACAACACATTTTAACAAATAAAACACATTTAAAATAACAACACATTTTAACTAATATGGCAAGTAGTTTATTTATTTACATTTTTGCCAAGTTTTTAAAATTGAATACTTATAAATTACATATTTATTTCTAAACATGTACTAACAGAAATTGTTCTAAAAGTACTTTTTTAAAAGTAACATTTGTTTCAAAAGTTTAATTGAAAAACTCAAATTAGATTTATGAAAACACTAATTTATTTAAAAAAAAACAAAAACTTTCTTCTTTTTTTAAAGCAAATCATGTATTTTGCATATATAAAAATCTGGTAATTTTTTTGTATATAATTTACGTATATAAATACTTATAAATACGTATATAAATACTTATAAATACTTGAATAAATACTACATTAAATTATATAATTAAAATAATTAACTATGAAAATCACAAATATTTTGCACAAAATGTCATTTACGCTTGTTTACTTAATTACTGACTTAGTTGTTGTGTTTACACTTACTTGTTGTAGTTATAGACTTAAATGTTGTGTTTACACTTAGTTGTTGTAGTTATAGACTTAGTTGTTGTGTTTGCACTTAGTTGTTGTAATTACAGACTTAATTGTATTTTGTATGTATACTTATTAACTTTATTTCTGATTTAGTTTTCACATTTACTTTTTTTTGCTTGATCACTTATTGAATTTTTCCATTTACTATTATTCACCAGATTACTGGTACAGTGGCTGCATACATGTTGGCTTACACATGCTGGCTTACATATGTTGGCTTGAGTACTGATTTGATTTTTTAATGAGTTTTATGTATTTATTTTTAGACTTCTGAATTAAAAAAAAATCTTATAAAGTTAGAAGATGAGATTGTCAAATTATCAGAAATATCCAAATCCAAGATGGTTTGTTTTTTATAAACCAAAATTATTTTTATTTTTTGTTTTGTTTTAATAACTTTTTTTCTTTTATTATCTTAATTATAATTATTATTTTATTAATTTACTTATTACATAAATAATAAGTGGTAGAAACGAATGATCTGTGGTTCAAACCCCACCTCTGGGCAATTTTTCAGGCTTGGTCGAGAAGCGGAAGCGATCGCTCTTGATTGCTGGCCACAGAAATAATATTTAGTAGCGAAAAGCTAGCCAGATTTTTTAGTCATAAAGCAAAAAAAAAGGCACAAAAGATTAATTGGATCGATGAGAGACAATTACAAAAAAAAAATTAGGAAAATAAAATATCTTTTAACGCAAAAAAACTTAAGGCAAAATAAATTATGTTTAGAACAAATATTTTCAAAACATTGCTCTTTTATAATTTTTTTATAAAATTATGCAACGTTTTTTATATAAATTTTATGTTTTGCGTAGTTTGAAAAGTTTAAAACATTTGAAATAATTCTTATTAGTAAGATGAACAAATGAAATAATTAAACCATTAAATTACTATATAAATTAAATTAACTAGATAAAAATCAACTAAAAAGCTTAAAAATACTTTATGACGAGGAAGCGAAACTGCTTCACAATATCGCTGATGATGTTTAGTGAGTGGGCTTTTTAATTTTAAATAGTATTTAAAACAGAAAAAAGTATAATGAGTTTTTAAGAATGGCAACTTAAGCGAAATAATTAGAGTTAGTAAACCAATATCTAGAAACTTTACTTTATATCTAATAACTTGCTTTATATATTTGTGTTCTGTCATGACCTCAGGCGCGGTGCTTGTTCATCCGCAAGTTACTTTGTATGCATAGTTAATGTTTAGAAACCAGAAACTTCTTATATGTTTGCTACATAATTAGTTTTATTAACTTTAATGATTATTAATAACTTCATTTAAAACGCAATTATTTTTGTTACAAAATTACATTTACATAAAAAATACATACTCTTTTAATAAATATATACTAATAAAATCTACAATTTATAATAAACTTTCAAAATTTAGACAATTTAAATAATATATATTTAAAACATTTATTTTTGTAAACAAATAATAATAGTTGATAAGATTTACGGCTCCGAGAATGAGCTCCGAGAATTGATAATATTTTTTTGAAACAATCTATTCTAGAAATCTCATAACGTAACAAATCGTGAATAATACAATTTCTAAAACATTTCAACAGAATACTCTAGAACTTTATTTTGCTTAGTCAGCGTATTTTTTGAACCAATAGAGTTAGTTTGTTCGTTAATTTAGCGGGTTTATAGAGTTTGCGAATATTCTTTTTATTCTTCTGCACCAAGATGTTTTGAGAACAGTCAAGTTTTTTATGTTTCCATGTATGTCCGTAAAACTAAAATTTTTTGTTTCGTACATAAACTTAAGTGTTCTCAAAACGACTAAAAAACCTGGCCAGTTTTTCGCAACTTAATATAATTTCCGTGGTCAGTATTCAAGAGCAATCGCTCCCGCTTCCCGACCAAGCCTGATTTTTTGGTTAGGAAGGAGACCTGATCTTCCTATTAAATGCTTATCCGCAGTGCTCTGTTACAAGTCTGTAAAGACTTGTTGGGGCACCTAAAATAAAGAAAGTAAAGTTTGGCTTTGTGTGGTTTATACTGCTTATTATATTTCCTAATTATAAAAATCCAGATGGCATTGACATTAACTGGAAGCCAATAAAATTAACATTGCTTTGATTACAGTACTGCTTGGGTTGAGAGACGCCAAAAAAAATGATTCACTACTTAGCTAAAATAAATTTGATAAAAAGAAAAATATAGATGTTTCTGTTAAAACACTTTTTTCATAGAAAAATTCTTACTTATTATCATTTTTGAAAAATATAACAGATTAATTAATTTTACATTGTAATATATTTAAAACTGTTGTTCAGTACTTTAATTAACAAAAAAATTACATAATAAATTTTAAAAAAGGATTTTAAATTATAATTTCAAGAAAAAATATTTATTTTTTCTGCTACATGCCATTTATACTAAAGTACTTATATTGGCTTTACAATTATTTTTTCATTTTGGCCAGCATTTGGCAATGTCTTTTTGATGTGCGTTGTCAAGTTCACATAATATATTTTTATAACTTTCAGAAGTGAGAATTATTGCTATGTTTGAGTTAGATGACTAATAACTATTATATTGAAAAGTATTAAAATGTTACCATGGTTACCACCTAATTGTTTCAATTTTAGTAGCAAATTAATAACCTCCAGCAAAATTTATCTACTTGCTCCTGATGAGACAAGTTTATATTTCATTTAGGAATCATATTGTTGTTGGCTATTATCAGGTTCAAACCTCTAATTCATCCTATCATTGCCCATTTTATGCTATGTTAAGGCTGATAGGAATTTTTTTTTTTTTTTTTTTTTTTTTTTGAGATGGTCTTTAGACTAATGTCTTGTTTCTCTGCTTTGCTCAAAGTGCTTTTGAGTTCTCTCTCTTGTTTTAATGTTTTCCTAATTCAATTTACTGATTTACAGTTTACAATTTACAGTTTTTTAAAACTCTTCTATCAATTGCTTGCATGATTTTCAACCAAAGTACTTTGATATTTTTAGCTGCTGATAAAGTCAGCCTCCCTACCAGCTTCTGAACTTTATGTTAGCAATGAGAGCTGTCACAGAGCTTGGAAAACTTTACTACAAGCTGACCAAAACCATTAAACAGAGTTTTAGTGCTGTATTTCCATTAGAAGATAACATAAACGGTTGCATAGTCACTACCAATAGGGCACAAGCAAAAGTGCCCTATTGGTAGTGACTATGCAAGTACAATGTTATTATGGTTCAGTGTTCATTCTAAGTATTTACAACATAACACAGGTTTACATCTATTTCAGCCTATTAGATGTAGAAGGAATGTGATACTGGTCAACAGAACATTTCTTCTAACCTTTGTCTATGTCTTTGTCTTGAATGTCTTTTATAAGACAGTAGTCAGATGCAGTTAATATCTGCCTATTTTTTGAGTTATCTCTAGTCTTCATTCAACTAAAAGCACGAAGACCGTGGCCTAGAAAAACAAACCCTGCAAAAGTTCCCTTTGCCTAGAAAAGCTAACTCTACAAGACAGTCAAACATGAAGCAAGTTTAGATTTACTAGATTACATTTTTTTAGTAACAAAGTATTACTTTAATAATCTTATCATTGCAAAAAATGTTCTTTAATCCAAATATGGATATTGCTCTTGACATATCAAATAAGTTCAGTAAAGTCTGGTCTATAGGCTCTTTATAGATTTTTGCTATAAATTGTTTTTTTCTAATTTTTTTCTTCCTGTGTCAATGTTTAGGAGTTCATCATGTCTTTATGTTTTCCTGTTTAATACAATTTACAGTTTTTCAAGTCTTCTGCCAACTTTTTTTTTTTTTTTTTTAGCTCTCCTACTGTTTTTTTAGCTCTCTTCTTTGCTATCTATTAACTCCTAACTTGAATAATAGATGCTTGCAGTTATGTTGGGAATTTATTTTGTTTTGTAACTGTTTAATTTTAGAATGAATATTTATCTTCTGTTTCAATCTTTTAGTTGCTTCAAAACAATGGTTTTTAAACCTGCTTTTCAAATCTTTTTTTAACTTGAATAATATTAGGTTTTAGATTATAACGTTACAATATTTTTAGGCTGCTGTAAAAAATGCGGAAGACATGCTACATAATCAAAAGGAGGTTTTAAAACATTGCAATGAGGTATTGTAATATGTATAGTTAATTTTTTTTAACTAATTAAAAAAACTTTATGTAATCTTTTTTCTAAAATATTAAATCAGCAAACTACTATATTATTCATATATGTGAAATTTATTTACAAATAATGTGCAGCAATCATATTCAATTTATATGTGAAATGGGGAAGAAAATGATGGGAAATTTTTTGATATATTGAAAAGTTCTGGTATTTTAACCATTACTTAAACCATAAAATGATTTCTACAGTATTTTTATTAAAGTATTGATTACTACCTCAAAGTTAGTATTGGTTACTACCTCAAGGAAATTTATGGTAATGCAAGTGGAAAGAAAGTAGAAGGTATCTATGCACTATTAAATAAATTTTAAAGTGAGTAAACTTCTAATGTTTTGAAGTGTCCAGTTATACAATGTTTTGTCCATTCCATTGTCTACTGCTTCTTCTGAATCAATCTTTATCACAGGTGGTAGAGTTCTTGAAAAATATCCTAGCTCTATCATGCCAACCACATTGAAAGCTATTATATAATCTTAAGATTGGATAAAAATTGAACTCCAAGTTTTTTAACTTTGATGTTAACTTTCTTTAGTTTATTTTTCTATTTTTAAGCTTCTAATAAACAGAGAAAAACAGCATTGTGGCCTCCATTAATTAAAATAAAAATGAAGCTTTTCTAATTTCTTAACAATTGCAAAAAAGAAGAAAGAACTCTTGTTAAATATAATTAGTGTATATAAATAGTAGTCTTTTTCAATGGATAAGTTTAACAATCATAGAGATTTTACTTGTCTGAAGTTTAACAGTTATTTTTTGAGTTAATATAAAAAAAATTATTTTCGAAAAATGTTTTCTATATTTATTTTCTTAACTATTCATTGGCCATCATCTTAAATGATACTTTAAATAGGAAAAAGAACACTATCACATTTAAACAGCAGCCGTGATGCAATGGTCAGAGTGCTTGCCATAAGCAGCCAGGGCACAGTGGTTAGGTACTTAAAACCTAGAGGTCTAAGATTTAATTCTTGCTCCAACCATATTTGCAACATTACGGAAAGTTGCATGAAATTCCTAAAATAAATGTTCTTCCATCGTATTCTTTGACAAGACAGTTCTTCTTGGAGCACTTAAACAGCCAAAAGTTTTATCTGCTTTTTTTATAAAAATCAAATAAAAGCTATATTTATGAGGAAGACACAGGGTGCCATAAATTGTTTCTTATGTCCTAGATACTTAATCTATTAGATACTCACAGGTATCTAATAGATTAAGTATCTAGGACATAAGAAATTGATACTATATTATTTTCTTCTTGTCTGAAAAAATACTTGTTTTGTTTCCATCCTCTAATGTCAGAGTTTTCAGTATTTCGCATGTTTGAAATATTTAATTTAAATTTCATAAAATCCAAATTATTTTTAGAACATAACAAATTTATCAAAAGAGAAAAATCAAATAGTAAAAGAATCTTCTAATAACGCTTTGTTACTGAAAGATTTGACGCACAGAATAAGTAAAATTAACAAAGAAACTCAAGATGCTACTAATAAGGTAAGCCAATGTTTGTTTTTTTGTGCTAAAGCTTGCTTATCAGCCAAAATATCTTTTTAAAGTAAGTCTAAAAAAATCCTTATGAAAGAGTTCTAAGAAATTCTGAAAAATCTTGAAGAATTTTCCCTAAAGCAATAACTTCTTAAAGAAAGTTATTGCTTTACAGAAAAATTCATATAAATTTAATAAAGCTTTTTTTTTTCAACACTTTCTTTTATTATAAAAATTTCTTTTAATATACTTCCTAAAGGTTTAAAAACTCTATTTTTAAAGGTTGAACATATGCTTAACAAATATGATTGGATTAAAACTGAAAAAAACTATTTTGGCCAAGTAAACACTGCATATGATTTCAATAATAATGATCCGAAAGAAGCTGCAAAAAAAATGGCTCGTTTAGAAGAAACTAAAGAAAAACTTGGTAAAACTGTAAACATGAGAGCAATGAATATGTTAGGAAAGGCTGAAGAAAAGGTTTTTATATTTATTTGTATTTTTGAAATATATAATATATTTTTTATAAAATATATAAAATATAAATATATCTTTGAAAATTTATTGCTTTTTTTAATTATTTGTCTTCTTCAAAAAAGTCTAAGAAAGAAACTGGTAATAATAATAATACCTAACTAATAATACTTTTTAACTAGTTTATATTATTGTCCCTGGAATCAATTAAAATATTTCTAAGATAAATAATCATTGTTATCAGTCTCTTTAATTAATTTAAACAATTTAACCGTGTAATTGGTTAATATTGTTTTGTTGTGATTTTATTGATCAGAAAAGTAACATTTTTATATTTTTAGTATAATGATCTAATGAAAAATAAAAGAATGGTGGAAACAGATAAATTGAAAATTGAAGATCTTATTAAGGAGTTAGATGAGCAAAAAAATCAAAAACTGAGAGAGGCATGGATTCAAGTCAACAAGGTTTGTTCTCTAGGTTGTTTCCTTCTTCATACATGCACGCCTAACTGCTCTCTTTTTAGTATTAGCAGAATGATGTTAGTATTTTCAGATTATAGATTTTAAAATGGCTTCTTTTTTCCTTCGTAATACAAAAATTAATTATGTTATGGGTGACCCTATCATTTTGAAAAATAATTTTAAAAATAGTACAATATAAATATAATGAAAATAACACGTGTTTAAAAGAACTCTCAATGCGTGTTGCGTTCATTTTAAAGGGGAAAAAAACAAATATATACAATAGTTCTATACCAATTATGTCATGGTGTGTTCTTCTATTGCAAATTAGAAATTCACTAGCCCCTTCGATTTGTAGCTGCTTTTCTGAAAATCATTAATTTACCAAAAAACGTGTAATCTTTGAAAATAAAATAACCCAAAAAGGGCATCAGATATGAAATCTGCATACCCAAGTTGCTAAAACACAGATATCTGCTTTCATTAATATTTAAAAAAATATTTTTTTGTTATACAGTGTTATTAGTGATGGGAAATTTTTTTTTAGTGTTAAATTAAATTTGCAGTTTTTGTATGTAAAAAAAAAAATAATTTAAGAAAAAAAATCATTTTGTTCCAAAAACAAAAACTTAAGTTCATTTAAATGCAAATTCTCTGAAGGAGGGGGTGCTTAGATCAGTCTATCTTTAATGCGGAGGTCTAAAGACATTAAAGATTTCTGATTTCAATTTAAAAACTTTATAATATATGTGTAATAAATGAAAACCAAACCAAAGATTTTGAAATATGTGCCATTGTACACAACAAATTATTTTAAAGTGTTTATCATTATAATGTTTTTATCATTTATGTCAATCCTTATTTTCTTGTTGACGTCTTTAACTGGATTTGTGCTTATTTTTTGTTTTAAAACTTTATAGGATTTTGGAAGTATTTTCTCTACACTTCTACCAGGTGCCAACGCAAAGTTGTCGCCGCCCGAAGGTCTTGGCGTGTTAGACGGTCTTGAAGTTAAAGTATGTTTTGGCAACGTCTGGAAAGAAAGTCTAACCGAACTTAGTGGCGGCCAAAGGTATAGTGATGTGAAGATTTGATTAAGATAATTTATTAACATAATTAAATATTTTGTATTTCGAATCAAAAAGGGTTTTGTTTATACCAAAATTATAAACAAAGCATAACCTTTTTCTTCGATTTTAGGATAACAGACTACAGGTTACCCTATGTCCTGATTTTACGAAGGAGAGTGCAGCGCTAAATCAATTAAAATTAAAACTTTCATTTTGCTCTCCTATGTAAAATCAGGGCATGTGGTAACCTAGGATATTGTAGTTTTTTAATGGTTATTTTTTTATCTACTCTTTTGTAACCAATGGTATAATTTTTTTAAAGGTCATTAGTTGCACTCTCGTTAATTTTATCAATGTTGTTATTCAAACCGGCGCCAATTTATATCCTCGACGAAGTCGATGCAGCTCTTGACCTATCACATACTCAAAATATTGGTCAAATGTTGCGTGCACATTTTCGCCATTCGCAGTTCATAGTGGTATCGTTAAAAGATGGTATGTTTAGCAACGCAAACGTTTTGTTCAAGACAAAATTTGTTGACGGTGTGTCAACTGTTACCCGATTTGTTCAAAACCAATCGCAAAAAGCAGTTTTACGTCATTAAAATTGCCTCGTTAATTTTATTAACTGTTACACAGTTCGACGAATTGAAAAGATAAAATAAACAAAACTAATCCCAGCATGTTCGCTGTTATCTGTTTTTAATCGTAAAAAGCAGTTTTACGTCATTAAAAATGCTTTGTTAGTTTTATTAACTAGATTTTTCTATCGAAATATTTATGGTTGTTTTATCTGATACATAGATTTATTTAATAATAATTTGTAATTAGTTTTAATGTTATTAGTATTTTTTAAATTATGTAGTAGATATTTTGACCTATATATCCAAAGTGCAAATTCTGTAACAAAATACAATTGAAGCTTAGTTCAATTCAATAATTAAACTAAGATGCATCATATGAAGGCATAAATATAAAATTTATAATACTTAAATTTAATATCGCGTTTTGCATTCGATACAAGATTTTAAAAGCAATATTTATTTTCTTTAAAATTTTTTCATTTCTTTAGATTTTTTTTTTTTTAATTTTTAATTTTGAAAATTATATAAAAAATATAGACTATTTTCTGAGACATAAATTCTCGAATGTCTGCAGCTTATATGGGAACTTCAGGCTGTACCATGGCCACTGTTGATTCTGGGCCGTCTGTAACTTTTAAAGGCGTATAGTCTACATCCAAAAAATTTCGCTACTAAATGAACAGTTCATTGAGACCCTGCACATGTTTTTCGTTATTGTTGCCAAAGAAATTTAGGAAGCGATCAGCAAACCTGACACATTTGAGTGACCATGAGTGGAGAATTGTGTCATATTCCTGCGCTTATCGTCAAAATAAAAGGCTTCTAAATTTAGTTATCAAATAGCGTACTTAGCTTGGAATATGAATATTTGTAATGCAAAACAGCATGTCTTATTTTTAAGTAATGCAACTTTAATGTTTTTATTTATTTTATTATTACTTAAAATTTATTTATTTATGTTATTATTACTTAAAATATTTCCTATAATATCATTGTTATTATATTTTTAAAATATCCAACTTGTTAAGACTGTAAATTTTGAAATTGTAAATTGTTTTACAATTTAGTATTAGTTAGGGACATAACCAATAGACTCTTACTAGACATATAATAATAAGATTCTCTAATAGAGAAGGTTATAGGTCAGTTGGGCTTTTGTTAGACAACATAAAAACGAGTTAGTTGCGAAAAAAAGCTAACATTTGTCCATGCTAATTTGCCTTATACACACCAATATCATAAATAGTAATTGTTTCCTCTTTGTTTGCTTTCATACATGTGTCACATGCGGTTTTTAAGAAGTTTTTAAAAAATAGGTAGGTGATCAGTCCAATGGTTGTAGCTTGCGTAAGCAAGACAAATGATCTGTGCAATGATTGTACTTATATAAGCAAGAAGTCTGTTCAATGGTTGTAGCTTCTGAATAAATAGGCATGATATTAATTCCGCAATAGTTATCGAAATTATCAAGAGATTTTTTATAGGATTTTACTATTAGAACAAGTATTGGACGCTGTTGGAAGGTCAGCGTTAAAATTCCTCTTTAATATATAAAAGTACATCAAAAACTACCTGCATCCCTTCTTTAAAACTGATGACATATCTACCATCCTCATTCGAAATAAATTAAATCTGTATATCAGACTACTGAACAATCAGACTTGTTTTTCCCTAATTTTGAATCGAATATCTGATTTTACTAAAGATAACCTATTTATTAACAATAAAACAAGTGATAAAAGTTTGCAATCAACTTGAGCTAAACTTCGTCATGTTTTTAATAGATAGGGAAAAAATAAACGTCGCTACGATGATGTAGGAGACAATATAGAGGCAATTTTGAACCATTCTCTTGAATTCTGGAATATCAGAGAATAAAGGCTAGTATTTACAAATTTGATGGAGGATAATATTCCAAGAAGAATTTAAATTTTTTACACTGAAAGTATAAACTATTAGTTTTATACACTTTGTTTTACTTGTAATTTGAAGGATAAAAAGAATAAATAAATAATTAAATTTGTATTCGTTGACAAATTTAAGTAATAAGATATTTAAATTTCAACGAAAACTAATTCAGATGTATGTATAATTATGTATATCAAAATACAGATAAGTGATGCTAAAAAATAATTAAAAATAATAATACTAGCAGTGTAAATAGAAAATAATAGTAATAATAAAAAGTAACAGCAAAAATTAAAAACAAAAAATAATTATAAGTAAATGACAATGTGATTAAATTAAAAATGTGATCAAAGGACACCAAACTTTTTCTGATAATAAAATAGTATAAAAACAAAAAACAAAAACTAATAAATGTTGATTTATTAAACAAACAATATTATTTCTTTTTTTATTTTGCATTATCTGATTTTTAGGTTTATTGTTATGAATTTTACCTGCGTTCTTACTTAAACTTGAAAGTTATGACCATGTAAATTTACAACCTCTTCATTTTGGAAACAAACTTTACATGGTTCACATGGAAACTATACTTGGTTATAACTTTTGAACCATAAAAAGATTGTTAAGTGAAATTTATAAACTAATTTACCTTAATTCTGGGGTGGGATTGGTGATCTTTTTGAGATATTTTTGTTCACAGGGTCTAATCAAGGCATTTTTTTGCAAAGCATTCTTATTCGACATAAGTATAAACATACTTAAGTTCAGAGTTTGCATATCACTTTAAAGTATTATTTATAATGTATCGAAAATTCTAATTTACGCCATGGGCTTAAATAATGACATAACGCGACGTTAGAATTATCTTGTTTTATCTCCACATTTTTTAGTTTTGAGTTAAAACGATTTAAAAAACAAAAACTTTAGGAGACGGCGTATAAATTTTTTTTTATAACTTATGTTTTTTCCGCAACTTTTTTACTTATAAATTAGGTTTCAATTCAGTAGAAAGACATTATTTTGAGGAACACAACACTATCATTAACATTAAAATTTTTCAGAAAGTGGAGATAGAATAAGATAATTCTAACGTCGCGATAATAAGATAAAAACATATTAAGATTAAGTGCCGGATTAAAAAAATCTGGGCAGTCACTAAAACTTTTTGGGGCCCTATTTTTACATTAAAAAGTATTTTTGCAGGATTATTGAATAATAGCACATACATTTATAAACGTAAATATTTACTAATGCCAATAAGCGTTTTTTTGATAAATATATACAATTATGAGATAAATCTGGTATTTATTATTTTTTTATAAATATTACATTGCATAAATGGAACATGTATGCAAGCTAAAAAGATGTGTAATCGCGAGTGATTTTTAAGATAATACTTTGATTTTTTCAAAAAAAAATTTCACCTTGCTTAACCCAACCAAAGTTTTTTTAAATTTGTAGCTTTTTACAAGAGTCTAATTTTCTGGAGATCTAAGATACATACAAATCAGTGGCGGATTAAGACTTCTTTGGGCCCGGGGCTGTTTTTGTTTTTGGAGGCCTTTATATGGGTTAGAGCCTAAAAATGATTAAAAAAAAGAAAGTCCTCTTACATTTTTGGGGACCCCTAAATTTGCGGGGCCCGGGGCTATAGCCCTCCATAGCCCCCTTCCTTCCCCCTTGATCCAGCACTGATACAAACATGTATACGACATTTGTTTGCTTACTATGTCTAGAAACCATGATAGTATGGACGAGGGCGGGGGAAGGGTTTGGCAAGGGGAGGGCAAAAAAAAAGTTTTTGTTTAGCAAATCACTTTTCTACAAAATGGTTATAAAACCGCATAATAATTTTTATATAATTTTATCGTAAAAATATTGTGATATAGAATGAAATAGATAAGTGGAATCGTTTACAATCTATATAAAGAATAATATAAACCACAAATTTTAAAGTATACAAATAATAAAACCGTAAAGTATCGTTATTATTAGGACAAGAGAAAAACATCCAAAAGACCAGATATTTTTCGCTTCAAAAAACCAATTTACTTATCAAAAATTTTATATTTTACAAATATTATTTGTTTTACAAAACCTCATGATAGAATTTGTTTATATTGACAATTAAAAAAAACTGCATTTAGATCATATAAATATGCAATTAGACTTATTTTACTTATATTTTATCTACACTTTTTTTATTTATCAAAAATCAATATCTAAAGTTTTCATTGGTTTTGGTTTAAAATTAGGTTAATGCTGGTTTTTTGTTTAAGTTACATTCGTAAAGTTGTTTATGTTTTGTTATTTTTAATAATAATGTTAAACTAGCTTTTTTGAATGTATTTAATTCAATTTTTGAACTATGAGAACCTAGGACAGGTATTTTTAGATTCCAAAATTATAAAATGCAAAAAAATTCTAATAGGAAAAGAAGAGTAAATGCTCGCACAAAGGAGCACTTTTTGGTGGGGAAACCTGCTATTGTGTGTTCCATGAAGCTACTGACTTCGGCTGATTTGATCAAGCAATTTCTTTTTCTTAAAGAAAAGAATGGGCCAAGTTATAAAAATAAGCACCTTATATGCTGTCCTCTCAGCAATAACTTCAGGTTCAATTTATATTTTATATTTTAATTGATTTAAAATGAACCAAAACCAACAGAAAAACATTTTTCTGCTTGGGCCGATTGATAAGCGTAGAGCCGAGATTGAACAGAGGAGAAATAGTAGGATTCAGAGTAAAGTTATAGCATCAACAAGTTTTTGCAAAAAATCATTTGTTCAGTCTAGAGGTTTTAAAGTATGGCTACTGAGGATGTACATCTACCTAAAACATTTTCTTCAGAACCAAGTTCAGAGTCTGAATCAGAAAACATGGACTGTTCAAAAAGTTACATGGACTGTTGCAGTTGCATGCAGCAGTTGATAGGATTTGTGTTCTTGTGAAAGCTAGAAGTACTGATCATCTACTTTGTGCTCCAGGAGTTCATTCTGGTACAGGGCTAAATCAATTCAAAGCTTTCAAAGAAATTTTGATAGAGTTTGAAATTGCTGATCATGTAAAGATAGTCTGCTTCGATACTACTGCTAGCAATACTGGAATGATTTGTGGTGCTATATACAGGTGAACTGTTTTTCCATATAATTTAAAAGAAGGACTCTAAAAGCTAATTACAATAAACAATTTAGTTATGATCTTAAATTTTCAGACTGCGAAACGATGGAGTTAAATCATTGTTGATGCTTGCTTGTAGACATCATGTTTTAAAAGCCATATTAAAACATTATTGGTTAGCAGTTACCATAGATAAAACCACAGAACGTACTCTTTTAAGGCTTG